AAGAGTGGTGATGCACTGGCACAGGCTGCTCAGGGAGGTGGTGGAGTCCCCTCTCTAGGCATTAAGAGCTGTAGAGATGTGGCACTGAGGGATGTGGTCAGTGGGCATGGTGGGATGAGTTGGTTGTTGGACTGGATGATTTTTGTGGTCTTTTATAACCTTACTAATTCTATGATTCTGCAATGTGTTGGAAAGAAGGGACCAAGGTGCTTTCTGGCTCTGAGCTTCAAAATGAGTTTGTCTTACTATAACTTAAGAGCACTCTAGTGCTAATCTTAACCAAGATCTCTGGCAGAGAAGAGTTCTTGTGTTTCACAGTGCACTCTTGGCACTTGGCGGATGCGGTTTGCCCACTCTGCACATCCACGTGAAGACTTATATAAAACAGCACCAGTGTGGCTCAAGTAGGAGGTCTGTTAGAATGTCTGCTTTCTTTCTTGGTTAATTGAAGGAAAAAATTGTTCCATGAAGCCTGTTGGTTTGCTCAGCTCAGTTTTAAGTTTCCAAGTATCTGCCACTTGCTTTAGATTAATCCAGTCAGCTCTTTTGACCATGCACTACCAATCCACATGTTTGTGTGCTGAAAAACTGTCTGCTGGAATAACAAAGAAACCCAAACACTTCCTAGGTTTCCTTTCTCGTGAGACATTCCTTCTCTGCCAGTTCTCCAGACGGGGTCTGCGGGCAGCTCAGGCACCTTTCTGCCAGCATACACGTCCATCAGCAGACGGAAAATTTCCTGATCAGCTCCTCCTCCTCCATTTGCAGTAATAAAACAGTTGAGACGAGGTCACACGTTATTTATAGCCATCTCATGCTACTTGCTTCTACTCGCCCAGGCAGTAATCTTTGCGCAGACACAGCAAGATTAATCCTTCACGACACCAAACCCTTTATTCCCCTTGTTATCTGTGCTTACCCGCTCCTGAAAGCAGAGCCGTGTGTGCTAAGCCTTTGATAAAACACAGCAGCAGTGGAACTGTGGAAAAGTTTTTTTAAAGAAACAACGTCAGGGGCTGGCCGGAAGGTTTGAGACCTTTCAGGGTCAGGTGAGTGGTTTGAGATTTGTTCTCTGCAGTTCCACACCAAACTCATTCACAGAGCTGTTCCCTGAGGTGTTATACAGAAACTGCAGGGTTATGGGGGATCTGCCCCATTTCCCAGTGTGTAAAGCTTCTTTTACTCCCAGTGAAGAAGTTTAAATTCCAAGTGTCTTGCATGCTGAAGATACCTGGAACAGGTTGAGTTATGACTGTGGTCTTTTAAAAACCGTCTGGATGTGATGCTCAGGGATATGATACAGAGGTGGTTTGTTAGTATGGTTAAGGTTGAGTTGGCCTTGATGGTCTTGAAGGTCTTCTCCAACCTGAGCAATTCTGTGATTCTGTGATTGCAATTGTAGCTGTAGATGTCCTTGTTTGTTGCAGGGGAGTTGGACCAGTGACCTTTAATGGTCCCTTCCAACTCAAACAATTCTGTGATTCTAATTGCCATTGTCTGATAACAGGTTCAGTGGCGTGGGAATTCGTTGTCAAAAGTTGAGTTCTTGGTTATATCATGTACCATCACCCTTCTCTCAACTAGGCAGAATCAACTGTGCAGTAGCATTGAGGTACAGCTGAGACACAGATTGTGCTGCCTGGTACATCCAGGCCAGTGATGTCTCTCATAGGAATGGAATAAGCATCTGCAGTTTGCTCAGTTTCTTTGATCTTAAGTTTTGTTTCTTAAAATCATCTTCAATTTTTCCATGGGAAAAAAAAAATGTTTTTCAATATCAAAACCCAGAAACACTTAAAAATTATGTTTTCCCCTTCTTGGCTCTGTCTGTTGTCATGGCAAAGTCAACATGGACAGGGTGCTCCAGGTCTGCCTCGTTGCTGATGTTCTGACCTGGTGCGTCTCCTTTGGCTGACGTACCCAGGGCTTGGTGCGAAGTTGCAGCAGCATTCCAGAGATCTCAACCCAATAATGTGAACAAGGAGATCTTAGAGCACATACCAAGGTTGTGCTTCCACTGTTGTCATTTTTTCCTTGCTGATTTTCCTTCAGCCTTGGTTAGTATGCTATGTTTTACATTCACATTATGTCCTGAGAGCCCTACAAAGATCAAAATCTGCTTGTGTAACGTGCTTTTCTTACAGTCCCTGGGTTACTTGGCATCTAAATAAACAATCTGATTCCCCTGTAGGATAAATACTTTTTTTTTTTTTTTTTTTTTTTAAATATTGTTACTCATTTAAAACAATGGAAAATCAGGCGCAAGGAAAACAAAGTGATTTTTCCAGTGACTGCACAATGAGATTGCGACAGGGCCAGGAACTGAGTCCAGGTGCCCTGAGTCCCAGCCCAGGCCTTTAAACACCAAAATATCCCTCAGTGCCTAGTGAATTTGGCAAAGGCTTCCCCAAAGTGTTTCATAATTAATGTCAGTGCAACTCTCTGAACGTGTCTTACTTACCAGTTAGGAATTTGCTTTTATATACAGACATCCACTTAGTAACTCCCCCAACCTTAGCAGCTGTTGGCTTCTTTGTGTTGCTTGAGTCTTTCTAAGGCAAGTGTGGGACATGATAAATTGAGAAGTGTTGAGTTGGAATGCTCTGCTTTGAGTCCGCTTAGCAAAATCAAAAGGTCATCTCTGCTGTGAGGAGTCAGTGAGACGAGGCATGGGGTGAGCCTTGTTTTGAGGGAAAGGGAGTCCTGTTGTGTCTAGAATTCAGACTTTGCCTATCTCATGGGGATGAGTTTTATCCAGGAAAAGCTAAGCCCGTCCTAGGATCTGTGACAATTTTCAGCAGCTTTCTGGAAAGGATGGTCTATCCCACGACCAGCTGACACCACTTGCCTCTCATGGGAGTCCCCCCTTGCTGAGTGTCTGCTTTCTTTTAAGTCTGCGTGTGCAGGATGCTGCCAGAACAGAAGGGACATCTGTGGTGTGGAAGGATGTAATTTCTCTGAGCAACCTTTGGATCAGGTCAGAAGCTCTGTCCAACAAACCTGTTGCTGTGTTACAGCCTCTCTGATTGCAGGCTGCAGTGGCGCTTCTGCATACACTCAGCGTGACCTGAAAATTCCCACTGTGAGATGCTCTGATCAGTACTTTATACGTACCAGACACTATCCAGCTGAGATGTGCTTTTTTCCAGGATGGGATTATGTTGAAATGAGTTTTTAGAGGATGGGATATACATTTCTGAATAAGAATTTCTCTCTTTCTTTTTTTAATTTCTTTTTTATTTCTACATGGAAAGGGTTGGGGTTTTTTATGTGCTGTCTCTGCTCAGACATTCTTACAGTGATTTTGCCCTCTTGCTGAGAAGTCAAGGCCTTATTCTCCGGAGTGGATGCTGGGGAAGCACTCTTAGGCAGAGTCAGTTCTGGAACTAAATGCGGGTGCTTTGCAGCCTGCAATTGAAAGAAACCCCAGAGTCAGAATCTGCATTAAAAGGAGTTTCTTAGCATTGGGAAGTCAGAGAATCAAGAGCTTGAGAGAGATCTGGTGCCGAGTCTCTGAATTTGGTTCTCATCTTTGCTCCAGTTTCTGGTTCAACACTGGGAAAATGACTTAAGGTATCTGTGAGGCAGAAGAAACAGAATTGCCAGTGGGAAATGCCAAGGGATGAACTGTTACAGATCCTCTCCTGGCAGTAAAAGCTTCTCTGTACCCACTGTCAGCACAGAGCTAATCCTGGAAATCTTCTAAAGTTTGCACAAGGCAAATTTTCTGCATTTCTATGGGCTGTGCAGCACAGTGGTGCTTCGGTGTTCAAAGAGCAGCTCTCGGGGGTGGGTGGGAGCCAGGATCTCAGCTCTTTGTCAGAGGTATTCGTGCGTGCATCCTCAGCCAGCCCTGCCCTGGCCTTGCTGGGAATTTGGACTGTGCTTGAGCAGCAAAACAGCAGAGCAGGTGGACTGGTTGTTCCTCCCATAGGTCTTCATGTGGCTGTGAGTCCCTGGGCTGTCCCCTGTGAAAGCCGTGGGCTTACGAAGGAACATAAACTGCTCTTCAAGGCAGATGTTGCTGCTAATATTTGTCCCAATATCTCCAAGTCACAGGGAGTAATGACTGTGACAGCAATTGCTTGTTTGATACCAGAGAGCTAATTTCACAACCCCTGATGGATTTGGTGATCCCAAGACTTCCTACTTTATATTTTAATGCACCTGATGGAGCTGTGGGTATCCCTGTTCAGTGCAGGGAGTTGGACCAGATGGCCTTTAAGGTCCCTTCCAAATCAAACAATCCTACAATTCTGTGACTTCATTAGATTTGCTGAGTGATTTGACGTGTACTTGCTGCTTCCAGAGGGACTCCCCCTGCCCAGCTGAACTGAAGCCACGGCTTTGCCATTTTGGATGTCAGTTGGACATATGTGCATGCCTCAAGCAGGATGGGCTTGAGGGAACCTCCTCAGCATGCAGATGTTCTCTGCCCCTGTCTCTGCACCTTGCTGTTGGGCAGAGGCATTGCTTTCCTTCAGGAGCAAGTGTCTCAGCTGAGTGACATCTGTCGTGATGGGTCATGCAGATGTCCACCTGAACATCTGGCCTGCTCCCTGCGCTTCTGCAGCTGTGGATGTGTGGAGGACTGTGTCTGTATTTGTTTAGGAGGTTTTCTCTGTCATGACACTAATGTCTGGTCTCATTCATGAACTTAAAAACCCAAAATAACTCTATGCGTCAAGGTAAACTCCTTCTTAACTCTCTGTCGTCATCAGCAGAGTTCAGTCTTTTGTAACTGTACACATCTGAGCAAAATAAATGGTCTCAAGTCCCCAGCCATTTTCTGTAGACTCTGCATTCAGGTTTACCTTGCTTATCCCTTCACTGCCCAGCCCATTTGTTTCTAAAAGGTGTCCAGGTACATCTCTCAGCAGATAGCATCATAGAATCAAAGGATGGCTTGGGTTGGAAAGGATCTCAAAGGTCATCTAGTTCTAACTCTCATAAACAGCTGTACATCACCAACTTGAATGGTCTTTCTTACCTTGTTACAGCTGAACAAACTGGAGGAGGCAGCAAACGCAGCTCACACCTTCTTCATGGCAAACCCTGAGCACATGGAGATACAGCAGGACATTGAGAACTACAAAACAACAGCGGGGAAAGTTAGCTTGATCGACCGGGAGGCCAAGCCGCACATGGTGAGTCTGAGCTGAAGAGGTGCCTGGGTTAAGTGTCAGTCTGGACAAAAGAGATTTGGAGGCCAAGAGAGCATCGTCTATGAATGGAGAGATTCTTGCCAAGGTCCATGTTACAATACAGCAAAACAAACTTTCCCTTTCAGAGCTCTTCTTTAAGCCAAGTCAGCTCCTGTTTTTCACAGCGCTGCCTACTGTTTTTGTGATGGCTCTGTCCCCATTTCAGTCCCTCCCTTCAGGGAGCTCCTAGGTCATTTGTGTCAATTACATACCAGAAGCTCTGATGGGTGCCCTCCTTCGCACTAATGAGCAGATCCTGGCTCATGTATGTTTCCTACAGGCTGGGTTCTCCCACTGGGGCAGGGCACAGTTGTGCTGGTGACAGTGCATGGTGACAGTCAAGGGACAGCTTTTTGTGCTTCTCTAAGGTGAAAGGCCAACATGAACACCAGAGCCATCTCCACCTTCTGATTTCACAAGATACTAGGAAGCTGGAGTGGCAACTTGACTGCCTTTTCCATTGGCATTCATTGTCATTGTTGGGTAAAAGGGTTATAACAGAGAAAAGAGTGCATAATCCAGCAGTGGTTCTCAGGGTGCTCTAAGCATAGAGGAGTTCAGAAGAGCATTTAGGCAGATCTACAAAATACAGGTAGTCCAAAAGTCCGCTGATGGCTTAAGTGTGGTTTGGTGCAAGTGCTTACGCCTGGTAGATAACTAAGGAGACAAGTTTTGTCCTTGCCCACTTGTACTTCTTCCAAAAAGCACCCATGGTTCAGGGGCAGGTTGCTGTGGTCTGTATCTGCTTATTGTCCTGTCTCCTGCTGGTTTCTCAGGAGGATTACAGTGCTGGGGTCAGGCACTACGACAAGGAGGAGTACGGGTTGGCCATTGCCTACTTGGAGCGTGCACTGGAAGGGTACTATGCTGAGGATGAGGATTGCCAGATCATGTGCGAGGGACCACAGAGGTTTGAGGAACATGAATACCTGGAGTATAAGGCTGGCCTCTACGAAGCTATTGCAGGTGAGATCTTTTCACATCTTACTGGTTCTCACCCAATGGACTGTCAGTGTTTTTAACTGTTGAGTTTGGGCTGTGGAGCAGAAATGCTAAGTCACAGCTTGAACTGGTGATTGAGCACCTGGTGGGAAGGTAGGACTAACCCAAGGAATCTCAGGTGCATGCAATGTACCTGAGTGCCCTGAGGGTGTGGAGCCAGCACTCACCCCTTCCCAGACCTCATTTAAGGGTTAGCAGTGGGGGTGAGAGTATCTTGCTGGAGATCCCTGCCTATCTGAGGCCTTCCAAAGGTAAGCAAATTTTCTTCCTTTGTTGTTGCATACATGGCTGCTGTATCTGGACTTGTACCTATTTGCTGCAGTCTGGGACTTTGCCACCTCTCTATTATTGCCGTACTTTCTGTCATGTTTTTACATTACAGTCTGTTGGCTGAGTTTGCTGAAATGTCTTTTCTCCCCTTGCTGCTTTTAGTGAGTAATGCTGCAGGATTAAGACCAGAAAGTGCAAATGTAGAGGATAGGGAACCAGGGCATCTCATTCTGGTCCTGAGTAGAAGAAACTGAACTGGAAGAATAATGCAGGTGTGTGGGGCATCAGCAGCATTCAGTTAAGACTGAAGTAAAGGTGCTTTAGCGTGAACTGCCTTGGTTTCCCCCTGTACACAGTCTCACTGCAATTAATAATTAGACTTTACTGGTTATATTTACTCTGATTTTCTGTGCATATGAAGAGAGCAGCTGAGTTGTCTTGGCCCTGCTCCAGATGGGCAGGAAAGTTGCCAAAAAGGCTCAGGACGTAGATTCCTTCCCATCCAAAGGAATGGATTTGTCATTAGTGGAGGCCCACCTAAGTATGATCTTGTCTGAAGTCTCTGGACAGAATTGAACATGGCTATGCAATCTTTGGATTTGCATGTGAGTGAGCCAGAGGGGATTAAAACTGTTTATTATCTCTGGGAATAAGATTTCACGTAATTAGTTGTAAGGGGTAGAAGAGCAATAAATTAAGAATTGTTTGCTGGCAGAACTCTTATTTATCTGCTCTTGGTCTTGGAGTTGTATCATACATTGGAGTTTTGCTTCTTTCATGGGAAGTATTTCACTCAGATGCAGATTGTTTTTGGTTTTGCATAGTTCTGCTTGCCTAGCGACAAGAAATCTAATGGAACCTACCAAGATGAGAAACCAGTGACATATGAACGTGCTCCCTCCACGTGTTCAGGCCAGGCTGCAGGGGGCTTTGGGCAGCCTGATGTAGTGGGAGAAGGACTTAGTTGGAAGGGACCTTTTAAAAGGCCATCTAGTCCAACCTAAACCTATGGATTATTGCTATAGAACAGGATGAGTGTTTACATTTCTCCAAAGCCCCGTTCTTTTTTCAGCTAATTTGCTGTGCCACTGCAAGGGGTGGAAACACTCACACTTCCCCACCCAGGGACAGATGCATTTCAGTGCACTGATTCCAGTATATACAGCCTGTTCCTTGGGTACCCTGACAGTGCTGACTGAAAGCAGTGCTTGTCAATGATGGATTTTTCCAGGTCTGGGGATGCTTAAAGAGGTTGAAAGGACAACAAAATTATTTATGTCCCTTGTCTTCTTGCTTTCCTTAATGCAAACCCTGGATGTATATTGTAAATCAGGCAGCTGCTCAGGCTACCTGCTTGGAGAAAATGGGGGCTGTTTCGAGTTTCCAATTGATTTCAGCACAAATTCCTCCGGCTGTTTTCTTGGCAGCTCCAAGAAGTGCTTTGGTAGCTGAGCACATGTTTTTTTTCAAGCCTGCGTTTGTTTCTGAAAGTTTTTTAATAGCGTACAGAAACAGAGCGAGCAAAGTAGATTTGTACATGCACTGCAGCAAAGGCTCCAAACGGGAATCAGATGTCAGCTTTGGCTTCGGCGTCATCCAGCTGGTACAGTGCCTGAATTGTGTACTCCCACCGATCAGAAAACGTGCTGATGGCAGATGTTTACCGCGTGCTTTCGTTACCCCAGGAGATAATGTTGAGGAGCAATGAGTGCATGGATTTTGCTGCCAACGTGAGCTGATTGGCGCTGGGAAAGTGGCCACACTGTCCTCACACTTTTCTTGCTTTGTGGTTGTCCTTGGAGTTGGCTCTTGGGTTGAGCCCCTACCTGTCACCTACCCTTCACTTTCCTGAGCAGTGGTGGCATCTCCTGGGGCGCAAAAGAGGTGCTCAGGCTCCCTCTACAGTTGGCAGAAGGAGAACAGCACTTCTCAGGGATGGGCAAAATGTGGTTGTGGCTCTCTGTTGGCTTTGGAAAGGAAGCTGAGCTTGTTCCTCTAGGTGCTCAGTTGCTGCTGGGCCAGGACTGCATGTCCTTCAGCCTGGGATGCGTGATGGCTGTCTGTATGGGTGCCAGCATCATCATTTTCCTCTTTCTCCTGTCAGATCACTACATGCAAGTCCTGGCCTGCAAACATGACTGTGTCCGAGAACTCGCCACGCGCTCGGGCCGCATCTCACCCATCGAAAACTTCCTTCCCCTCCACTACGACTACCTCCAGTTTGCCTATTACAGAGGTAAGGCTCATCTTCCTGCTCCTTACAGCTCCTGTGTGTTGCTGGGCTTTGTTCAGGTATGATTTGTTTCATGGGACATCAGGATGTTTCCCCGTGATGTCCGTGCTACCACAATACAGTGGCGTGGTCTGAAAGAATTAGGAAGCAAAGGGTAGGGGAAGCTCTGTTCAAAGTCCTTTTCCTCTCAGATCAGCTGAAATGCACTGTTACGTATTACATTGAAATACTAAAAGCATTTTAAACCACTAGCCAGGTTTTAAAAGCCCAAGCTTAAACATGATTATTCTAAAAGAGGCTGTTCTTTTGGGGGATCCTTTCATTTGGTTTTCAGTATTAAAATTTTGGGGGATATATAAATTCACAGCTTTCTGAAACCCATAAGGAGTTACAAGTTTATTTACGTAGATTGCTCCAAAAAGTAGTGCCTTCTATTTATTTCCATGGAAAGTACAACAAAAAGCACAGTAATGCTATTTGATAGAGCAGGTTCTCAGCTGTGGAACACCACTGTTCAACACAGTTACCACCATTAGCTGTGCTTTTTCATCAGTTTTGTGGTCCTGCCTGGTATTTTGTTGCGTTCTGTTCTAAAAAAGAAAGTCTAGGCAGAATTCTGACTATTACATATGATGGATGCTTTCCTGAAAAGGGCGGAATGAGTGAGGGTCAACATTTAGGTTCAAATCAAATGCTTCTTCATTCATCAGTGCAGTGGGAAGAGAGCTGGAGGAGTCAGTAGTGTTACACACATAGTGTGCAGCCTTTTAAAAAGCTTTATTTTCCAAAATGAGAGGTTTAATGAATTGGTGGAGAACCCCCCCAGAGAGCAGCTGCACGTGGGGAAGGCTGTGCCCCTAACACCTGCTGTGTTATCTCCCAGTTGGTGACTATGTGAAAGCCCTGGAGTGTGCCAGGACCTACCTCCTCTTCCACCCAGATGATGAAGATGTCTTGGAGAACGCAGCTTATTATGAGGGCCTCTTGGAAGGCACCCTGGATCCAGCCACTATCAGGCCCAGAAAGGTGAGGTTGAGTATCCCATACAGGGTTTAACAAAACCATCTGCTAGGAATTAGAGCAGCTTAGCAGCTTGGCAGCTTTCCCACACAGGCATCTCTTTGAAAGCAAATGTGGAGCTGCTGGGTCAGTGGAGATATGCTGATGGTAATGATGGAAGTCCAGAGCACGAGGGAGAAACTGGAGAGCAGGATCTTCTGTAAATGGAACCGTCAGCTTAGCAAAGCCTGAGGAAGGGTGGTGAGGGCAATGTCCTTGTGCCTCAAGCAGAAGCTTTCCCTTCCCTCTGTTCTGGAGGAGATGTGGAGGAGGAATGCAACGAGGCACTGAGCAGAGGGTAACTTCTGTTAAGAGAGTGCTGGGAAATATTTTCCCAAGGGAAGTTTGGGATGCCAGCGTTAATGCTCAAGTTGCTGCCTTGGAGTTGAGTGCTCAGCCTGTCCTGTAGGGAGCAGGATGAGGCTGGAGTCAGGCAAGCAGGCAGTGTTTTTCAGTCATCCAGAGGGATGGGCTTCAGGGCATCTTCATCCTCAGGCTCAGGGCTGCTGTTCTCAAGGTGCAAAAGAGCAGTTTCTCCTGTCCCATCACAGCCTTGCAGAGGCTTATTCCCGTTGGAGAGGTGGGCAGGAAATGGGTGTTCCATTCCTTAGGGAATTTAGTGAAGTGCTTGGAAATAGAGAGGTTAAAGAAGAAAACAAGAATAATCATTGTCTCTACTCAGAGAGCAGATCCAGGGGAAAAAAGAGATGCTGAGAAAAGCATTTCAATGTTATCCTTTGGTTTGAAGTTTTCTGTGACAATTGCTTTTACTTTGCGAAGTAGGATAAAGCCCAGTATTTTGTTTATAAGTCTTTCATTAAAAAAGAAAGCCTTGTCTGGATGATTTCCACCTTTATGATGGCCATCCAGTATCCCAGGCTGCAATGCTGCTGCCTGTGAGAAGGACAGGGAAACTGAGGCACAGCCCAGCCAAGGCCCTTGCTCCAGCAGCCTGGGCTTTCCTCCTGCTCTGGGTTCCACTAGTCACTGTCTTGCTCAGCTATTCAGAGGTTTTCCATGGTGCTATTCATACGTATTTGGGGATGTTATGCTTCCTGAGATTGCTTTAAGGCATGACCTAACCATCCCCCAGGTTAGAATAATAGAATATCCCAAGTTGGAAGAGATTCCACGTGCAACATCCTCTCTTCTCCTGTTCCTTTCAGGAAGCAAAAGCATTACTGCGTCGGCACAAGCTGGAGTCCCACCTCCTGCGGGTGGCTGCAGTTGGTCTGGGGTTCACCTACACGGAGCCGGTAAGGCCTGAGTCTGCTGCTGTGGGGCATTCAGGGGTTCACAGCCATAGGACCATCTTGGACCTCTTCCTATTGTAAAGTGAGTCCTGAGTGGGTGACTGAGGATCTGAGTCTTGGGCTGGTGTGTCCATTACTGGGAAATGGCAAAGCAAGGGAGGCAGCCAGGAGTGAAGGCTGTGTGTGGATGTCAAGTTAAGATCAGCCTTCTTTCTTCCCTCAGAACTACTGGAAGAGGTACGGTGCCCGCCAAGATGAGCACAGGTGAGCTGGCACCTCATTCAGGTCCCTGTGGAATGGCTGTGGTGGAGATAGCCATTCACAGCCTTCCCATCACACTGCATGGCCATGACGGGTGTTCCCACAGTTGGGTTCCTCAAAACAGACAGTGGAGCAGAGGGAAGTTGGTGGATAAAGCCAGCACTGCTCTTGAAGGGTTTGTTGGTAGCTCTGCTTTGCTGGTAGAAACTGTTATTCCCATTACTAAAAAAAAGCCTTTGGTTTTTCATTGGGTTTCTACTTGTGACATCTGTATGAAACGTTAATTTGCGTTGTTTTTAACATAGTGGCTTGTGATATATGCAAGGAACATAACTCCTAGACCTGGAGACCTGTGACCAAAGTCACAATGTTCCTCTTCTCTCTTGCTTCTCAGTGTCCCGTCAGGTATTAGCAGTGAGCCAGAGGATGGGCCCCGGCTGTCCCTAACAAAGAAACCTGCACCAAAACCAGATCGAGAGCTGAAGGAGGGTAAGTCCAATGAAAACGTGTCAGTAAAATCAGAGGATGTTTTTACTATTGCTACAGACTGGCAGCTGAGCATGATGGCCAATCCTACCTGAGCAGTAAGCTTTCCATCAGGTGCTTTTGAAGGATGTTCCCTATTGTGTGGGCTGCAGGAGGATGCTGTCAGCCTTAGCTTTGGGGAACACTGGCTTTGCTAAATGGGCTGGATTGCACTGCATTAACAACCACTTCTGTTTGCAGACTGGCTTGTTACATCATACTTTGGCTTCCCCCAAATGACTTAGTTTTAATTCCCATCGGCAGGGTTTTCAACTGATTTCAGCATATTCTCAGCAGCCACAGAAAATACCATAACGTCTTCTACTAACAGATGAGGTTTCCCTTGTAACAATTTAGAAAAACTAGGTTGTGGCCAAATACCAATACATGCTCCTCACTGCAAAACAACAGGATCTCAGGCCAGGAGGTGTTCTGTGGGCCAGCTCCACAGCAGCTGGCAGGTGAACCTCTGTGTAATCCAATGGATGGAAGAAATTCACAGCTTTCTGTGGCCCAAGTTCTCTCTTGCTGCTCAGTATCTTGTTCAGAGTCATTTCCCCTTCTTTAGCCACACACATAAAGTAGGAGGACACTGAAGAGCTGCTTAAGCCAAGCAATAAGCTTGCTTATTTATATTTGTTGGTTTGTTTGCCTTTGCAATGAAATAATTTCACTGTCTTTCTCTATGCTGTGCTTTTATTCTTGCTGGTTAATTTACAGAGAAAATGAAACGTTTCAAAGAACGGAAAGTATTTTTGTCTACCCTGCTGCTTTATTTCTTTCTATTTCCCTTTTTCTCTTGGAAAGAGAAAAGGTCAGAAGAGGAAAAGAAAGATGTGCTTTAATGTTGTGCTTCACTTTTATACTGAATTCTTTCACCCCTCCCCTCTTCTATTGGTTCCTTTGCTTCCAAAAGCCCAAAGAATTCCATGGTATCTTTGGGGTGATTTTTTTTTTATTATTATTATTATTATTTTTATTTTTTTCACAGAGCATACATGTGGATCTTTTGATCTCAACCCTGGATCCGTGGCTCTCTTTCCAAAACAAACCTATTGCAACTGTATCCTTAGGAAATGTAAAAGCCCACTAAGTCATAATGCACCACGGATCCTGGAGCATGCTCTGGCTTCTTGAAAAGCAGCCCAGCTTTTATTAAATAATAAATTTAAATAATCCCTATCCATCTCTCCTATTTTAAATGAACAGTGAGAAAGTGGTTGCCAAGGGCTGATCCATGGGTTAATGTGTTGTGTGCTCTGAACCAGGGCAGAGCAGAATGGAACGTGACTGGAGAAGGGTAGAGGAGCTCTGGTGTTGGTTCTGTGGCTTGTTTGGTTCAGGGCAGTCAGGATTAGGAAATGTTATCATAAAATATTATCATTATCATGTTGTGTTTAAAACTAAAGGGTTAAGTGACATGACACTGAACAATACAAACTAATTATAATATTGGGAAATGAAGAGAGATCTATATATAAAAGCCACGACACCTGGTTCCCATTTCCAAGGCAGATTATTATTATTATTATTATTATTATTATTTGGAGAGCAATTGAGAAAGAGGAATGATACTACATGTTGGACAAGATGATCTTAGTGGTCTTTTCCAACCTTAATGATTCTATGATCCAGGCAAGAGTGAGGGATTGTTGCATTGAATGGATGACTGTGGCAGTTCCATGGCTGCTGCAGGGGGCAAAGATTGTCCTCAGGGTCCCTTGGCTCTTAAATTCCCTAGTGGGATCAAGCACAAGTGATGTTTATTGCAAACCACCCATGTATTGGGTTTTCTACATGAGTAAAAGGCAAAAATACCCGCTGAGGATAATGGCAGAAAGTGGTTTTGTGTGCCAAGCCATCAGCAGTCACACAAGGAAATGCAGCGGACAGGAGAGTGAGGTTAGCCAGTGTCTCTTATTGTATCCTGTTGGGTTCTGGCATTTTCAGGATGCATTTGCAAGGCACTGCTAACGAGAATGTGGGAAGTGCTGACGCTCTTGCAGCAAATTGTTCTCACCTCTGGGTGTTTCCATTGCTTCTGTTTCTTTTGTTGTTGATGTGAAGCCAAGCTCTTCTCTCTGCTGTAAAGCCATTTCCCTGGAAGCACACCCAATGACTTCAGCTGGCCCTCAGCCATGGTACAAGATGTCAGTAAGGCCGGGTCATGTTCAGCAGGGTTGTTTTGTGTCTCTCTTTCCATCAGGGGGTCCGCTTCTCTACAGCGATGTGAAGTTTGTCTACAACTCACAGCAGCTGAATGGCACCCAACGAGTGCTACTGGACAACGTCATCTCAGAGGAGCAGTGCCGGGAGCTTCACAGAGTGGCCAGTGTGAGTGGGTTGTGTCTGTGGGGGATGTGGCTGCTTTGTGGGGTCGGTATTAGATGTCTCACAAATGATTGACTTGTCAGAGGTGGTTCAGGGAGGCTCAGGGCTTGCTCCTTGATCCTGAGTGTTGCAAATGGTGGGATGCTGGTGGAGGGCATTCAGATGCTTATCCTGATAATATACCCTTAGCTCCTCCTTGGGCTGGTCCTGGGGGATTAGGGAAGAGGGTCCTAGTTGATTGCTTTGCAAAACTTTCCCCCCCTGCTTCACAATCACCCATGTTTGTGTCTGTCCTAGCAGGGGATCATGTTGGCTGGAGATGGCTATAGGGGCAAAACCTCTCCCCATACCCCAAATGAGAGATTTGAAGGTGCCACTGTCCTCAAAGCCCTCAAGGTAGAGTCCCCTTTTCTCCTCTCCTTCTCCCTCTAGCTTGCACGGCACTAACTCCTCACCCTTTGTCCCTGCCCAGTATGGTTATGAGGGCCGTGTCCCACTGAAGAGCGCCCGGCTCTTCTACGACATCAGTGAGAAGGCCCGCAGGATCGTCGAGTCCTACTTCATGCTCAACTCCACGCTCTACTTCTCCTACACGCACCTGGTGTGCCGCACCGCTCTCTCTGGTGAGCCCTGGGGTAGCACTGGGTAGCACTGTTGAGTCCCCCATGGGGGGTGATGGCGTGGCAAGTGGGGATGTGAGTTTGGGATTCTCTCTCTGTTGTTTGGTGGTTGAAGTGATGGCCAAGAGCTGGGTGAAGTCACGCATCTGTAGTGTTGGCACTGCTGTCCCAAACAAGCTGGGGTTTCTCTTGCTCTTCGTGTCTCCAACTCTTCCTCCTTTCTCTTCTCTTTCCTCTGTCTCGCTGTCCCTTCTTTCTGTCTCCCAGCCCTCCATCTCGCTTCCCATCAATCACAAACAAGAAAAGCTGTGTGAATCTGACTCCTCAGGTTTGCCTTTTCTCCCCAACATTTTCTTTGCTCCTTTTGCTTGTCCACACCACCTGGAGAGGGGCCAGGGCATGCTGCCTCCATGACAGATCTCACACAGCATGGCGTTGCCACTTCATCCACCCCTTCTTCCCCCCTTCCTCCCCATGGCCCTGCCTAGGCCAGCAGGAGAGGAGGAACGACCTGAGCCACCCCATCCATGCTGACAACTGCCTCCTGGACCCTGAGGCCAATGAGTGCTGGAAGGAGCCTCCTGCCTACACCTTTCGGGACTACAGGTAGGAAGGACAGGGCTGCCCGTGTATTTTGCCCCAGGCTGAGCACGCTGCTGCAAGTCTGTAAACCCTAAAGCTGGTGCATCCCAGTGATGGCAGAAGTGACATCCAGTGGATCCTTGCTAATAGCAGCAAGCATTATGGCTAAGCTGCAAGCTGAAGTTTAACTGTAATAGCTCTGCAGTATTTTAGGGTAGGGAGGACCCAGTGTGGCCTTCAGAACTGTAAGTCTTTGAGGCTTTTTTTGGTGCAAAATGGAAGGGTGGAAGCCTGATGTGACTTGGGACATTCTGAGACTTGTCTCCTGGTCAGGGCTGATATGCTGATAATCAGCTATGGCTCCAAACCATTGGGCAAGATTGCTCTGGCTGATGTAGGAGGAAGTAGAGAGAGCTGTCACCCTTCTATCCTATGATAGACCCAGAGCAGTGACCTCCACAGGGCGTTCCTTCTTTCCACAGTGCCCTCCTCTACATGAATGCAGATTTTGAAGGCGGTGAATTCATTTTCACTGAGATGGACGCCAAAACAGTGACGGTAAGTCAGTGCCCTTTCCTGGCTGAGCTGAATGCAGCAGGTAGTTGCTGAGATGCATCCTGGTCAGTTCAGAGACTGCACCGTGCAGGAACCCTACAAGGTCCTGGAGCCAGACACCCAGCAGAGCCCTGAGCCACATGGAATGCAGACATGGCCAGTGCGTGCCACCTTCATTGCCTGTTTTCCTGCAGGCATCCATCAAGCCCAAGTGTGGACGAATGGTCAGCTTCTCGTCGGGTGGTGAGAATCCACACGGGGTGAAGGCAGTTACCAAAGGCCAACGTTGTGCTGTGGCTTTGTGGTTTACCTTGGACCCACTTTACAGAGAGCTGGTGAGTCTCTCCATTGCAACTTGAGGGGGAGATAGCAGGCACCCAGAGCATCCTTAGCCTGTGGTCCCGCTGTGTCTACTTCCATTCCCACGAGGGACACGAGGACACAAGGAGCTCTTAAGGGACCCCAGAGCAGTTTTCTCAGGCTGGGTTCGGATGCTGCATGGGATGGTGAGCAGAGTGCTGGAGGGCTGTGTGTAAGGCTGGGGCTGTCCGTTCCTGACACCTAGTGGCCAATAATCCGATGCACGGGAGCAGCCTGGGTGATAAAGGGAGCTTATAAGCAGGAGGGAAGATAACTTTTTACTGGAGTAGATACTGATAAGGCAAGGGGGAAGTACTTTAAACTGAAAGAGGGGAGAGCTAGATTCGATGTTAGGTGGAAATTTTTGACTGAGATGGCAGTGAGGTACTGACACAGGCTGCCTGGAGAGGTTGTGGATGCCTCATTCCTGGAGACTTTCAAGGCCAGGTGGATGGTGATAAGGGATTTGCAGTATGTCAGCTGTGCTCCATTCACCACAGCACCTTGGGAGGGAGGGAGGAGGGAATTAGGTATTGAGGGGAACAGCGACTTGGATTCATTCTGCCCAGCAAATCCTCATCACAAATGCCCTCCTTGTGCACTGAAGGTCGTGGGAGGAGATGTGTGCTGTGCTGGGTGAGTGCTGAGGCTCTGCTTTGTGGTTTCTCCCCTTCCCTTCTTGCAGGAGCGAATCCAGGCAGACGAGGTGATCGCCATGTTGGACCAGGAGCACCTAGGACCCAGTGAAATGAACATCAACCCAAAGGATGAGCTATGAACTAGGCCAAAGACTTTTTCTATTAAATATTTATTTAATATTGTTAATCTTATTAGAACCTTTTTCTATTTTTGTACAGAGATGCTGTATAAATTAACAGGTTAATATGATTGTGGAGTTTTTGGGAGTGCCTTTTCTGCAGTTAGCACAGCTCTCAGTGGGACCCCTCATCCCTGTACCAGCATCTCCTACTCGGACTGTCTTTGCTGCTGGGGTTCCCTGTCCTTCCTGAGCACTGCTTTCAGCCCTGCTGTACCCCTTAGAGGACCCCTCTTATCTTCCTCAACCAGAAGCAGCTGCTTCTCTTTAGCCTCTGCTAGAGAAATGTCTCAGGTGTGCTGATGGATCTTTCCCTTTCTGTGCTAAGCTGTGGCTAGAGACCTAGCAGTGCTGCCACAGAAACCACTGCCAGGGTCTTGGTTGGAGCTTACCTCCCTGAGGAGCTTCATTTTGCTCCCAGCTGCTTTTCTCCATGTTTTTTCAGTGCCTTATACTCCCCTCAGCCAGCACTGCCATTAAAACAGGCGGTGGAGACTTGGCTTTGTTCTTCCTTCTTTCAGCCTTAGCTGTGGTCTTGTTCCCTCGTCTCACTGGCCCCAGTGCCAGGGGCAAGGATAGTCTTTGCAGGGGGAGATCTTATGATCGTCATCAAATGGCTTAGGTTGGAAGGAACCTTAAAGCTCCATGCTCCAACCCCCTGCAGTGCCCTCTGGATAAACACTTGGCCAGGCTCAGGAGGAGATGCCATTACCCCATGGAAATCATGGAAGATGGAAGGTTGATGTGCTCCACCTCTTCAGCTGCTGCAGTGGCAGGCGAGAACACTGTGAGTGCCCCCAGGCTGCTGGTGTGCTTTGGTTCCTGGACCTCACCTCCCATCCCTTGAGGCTGTTCAAGTGCTGCAGCAGGTTGCCTTCCCAAGAAAAGACTCATGGTAATTACTTACCAGCCCTTTGTTTAACACAGCCCAAGGAGGTACTGGAAAGCAATGGGTGGCAGCTGGAAAGCAGAATCACAGGGTCTGTTGTCCCCTCTATCCCCTCCCCATCACAGCCTGGGCTTGGCTCCTGTGCTGCACCCTGACCCTGGTCTGTGCTGCTCCCAGGAGCTGGTTTGCTGCTGCAGTGTTAACTTGAGCTGTGCCTAAATCCAGGGCAAATAAAACAAATGAGACACCAAATTTGGGCTTGTGTGTCTTTATCGAAGTATGAGAGGGGGAGAGGGGGGCTCCTCCTGGACCTGCTCATTTCAGGGTTTCTTCCCTGGACACACATGGTGCTGCTGGAAAAGCAACAGAGAGTTCAGCTTCTTGGGACCTAGCTGCAAACACAGGATTCCTCAGCCCTGAAGCCTGAGGAAGGGCTCTGGGCACCCAGGGCTCTATCTTCATGCTGCTCTTTCCCATGAATCAGAGGCACTTTTCCAGCATTTTCTTCTGGTGAAGTCTCTCTTCGGAGGAAAACTTTAACTTCTACAGCAATAGTGGAGGTAAAGGCCAGGCTTCTTAGAGTAAGGCTGGCACATGCACCAAGATGCAGTGCAGGCTTTTGAGTCTCTTTAATTCTGTGAGTGGAGAGGCCTGGAGGCTGCGAGGGAAACAGTCTGCCCCAAGGGCAGCCACATATCCGAAAAATGGAAGATAGCAGGAAAACCCAGACTGTGCATGTATTACTCCCTGGGATGCTCCTGCCCCTGCCAGGCTGCTACCAGCTGCTCCCCAAAGCCCCTACAAGAAGCAGCTCCCTACCAGTGCCTTGCAGATGTGGCTGATGTGTGTTTGAGAGCATTTTTGCTCCTTCAACCCTGACTGAGCCCCCGAAGCTGCACCCACAGCTCCATTTCTTTTCATTAATAGAAGAGTGCCCCTTCTGGCCTTAATCATCAGTGCAGGCTGGATGAGCAGGGCTGATGCATGACAGCTGAGAAAGGAAATATATATATAATAAAAGAACCAACATAGGAGAATTTGAAAGTATTTGAAAACCAGTGGTTCTGTGCATGCGTGTCTGTGTGTGGCTGTTGCTCTGTGAGGTGCGGTTCAATGCAGATGCTCAGGTTGGGGTTGATTTTGACACCTTCTGGTTGGTATGAGTCAGAGCAGTCACCCCACACCAAGGGCTGTGGCAGCAGAAGGTGGAATGGATGCCTCCAAGTGCAATTCTCCAGCGATGAGGCCAAAGCACTGGGAGCTGTCTGTTTACCCGGAGGTAGTTAGACCTGTCCCCTTTATTTCCCAGGAGCCAAAGGAGAGCAGCAGTTTCATTCAGGGCTGAGCCTTGGCCAGGAGATGCTGAAGGAGTTGGGATGAAAAACCATCATTAAGGAGGGGATAAAAAAAAGAAGTTGTTCCACCCATCCACACCCTTGTCCTACCTTGGGGAAAAGGGGGCAAAACAGCTGGCTGTGGTAACGCTGGCAGTGAGATGAAAATGGGCTCATCCCACTTTGGAGAAGAATTATGTTAGAAAAGAAAGAAAAAAGCACTTCTCCCTTTGGTTTCCACAACTGGAAGCCCACATCTCACCCCCTACCTGCAAGAGAAGTGCTGCGCTGTGGGTATGGCCCACACAGCCCTGCTGCCTCACAGCTGCACACTGGTGGAGCTAATGCCCATCATTTCTGCACAACCTCGGTCCCGGAGCCCATGGTTGGCACCCAGAGACAGCTGCCTGCTCCTGGGGAGGCCACAACAGGGGAAAACAAAACTCACCAGCACCTCGAAGGCACCTGGGGTTGTTTGTTCACCTCTCCTTTCGTTTCAACACCTCAGAGCTGGCAGTGTGCTGCAGCAGTGCTGCCAGCACCGAGATTGCTGTATGTGAGCTGCTGGCCAACTAGGGTGGATGGGTGGAGACTGATTTTTCCCTTTATTTGTGTTTCCAAAAATCCCTTCTGGCTCTGGGTGAGGCAGCAGGAGCTGCATGGTTTCAGGTCTGTCTCCTGGTGACAGTTACCTGCCTACAGCTCCTCTGAGCAAGGCGCTGGGCAAGGAATGCCCTCAGCCTCTCCCCACTGCACTTTTCTTCTTCCTTTTTCACTCTCTAGCGAGTCCTGAAAACAGCTCCAATGTGAGGCAGACATTCCAAATGTGAGAAATGACAGAGGAAGCCTTTCCCTGATGCAGCCCATAGAAGCAGGAAGGGATGGGGCTGGCTGAGGTCTGCCATAAACTCTAGCTTGAGCATAAGTGTCTTACACTCACCAGGCTCCAACCGGTGTTGGTGCTCACTGACTTCAGCTCTCCCTGATGCCTTCAACTTCACCATGCAGATCCCTCCCTGCACTGCTGTTTTCCTCCGAAATACTTCCTGTTCTGGGAAACATCCATTAGGGCTCCTTGCTTTGTCCTCTAGGCAGATATGCACCAGTCACCATGGCCCTGGGACACTGCAGCACAATGACCTGGCACTCTTAGAATCACAGAACATCCTGAGTTGGAAAAGACCCGCAAGGATCATTGAGTCCAACCCTTGGCTTCACACAAGACCACCCAGAATCCAAACCCTATGTCTGAGAGCATTGTTCATACACTGCTTGAGCTCTGGCAAGCTTAGTGCCACAACCACCGTCCTGGGGAGGCTGTTCCAGCACCTGACCACTCTCTTGGGAAGATCTACTGGGTTGAAGGGAGCAACAGACAATTGTGGGCAGATACAGGGCCCTCCACCACTACCCACAAGAGAGGTGTCCTGCCCTTCTACCAGTCCCACATGGCTTCCCAGTCAGCACTGCTCTTCTTCAGTCACAACAGGGATGCTCATACTCTTCCAGAGCAGCACAGATGGAGGGAATCAGCTCTCACCACTCCCAAGACCTCTCTGTGCAGCAGAAGGACGAGCTTACACAGGACACAACATACCCACCAACTGTCCTTGCCTGCCTTCTGGTGTCCCTGGCAGGGATCTCTGTTATAGCCAGTTTCCTCCCCCCTCAGGCACCTCTGTAACCCCAGACAACCACTGCCTGTGGCCAGACCACGCAATTCCTACCTGAGCAGTTGCCTGCTGACAGCTTCTCCTCCCCCTGGGGGCAGTGAGGGCAGGTGGGGCACATCCAGCCACCCCTCCACCTGAGTCACCACTCTTACAGTTGAGCAAATCCAAAGCACGCATGTGGTTTAGGCACCACTTTTACCACCAGCCCTCAGCCTTCCGTGCACAGCACAGCTGCTGGAAGCTCCCAGCCACTGCCTTCCTTACCAGTTTTTTTGCACATTGGCACTTAGCCCCATGCTGGATGTGACCCTCAAGCTCTCACCACCCCCATACCCACGCCAGTGGCACTTGGTTGCCTCCTTGGCACACCGTATCCATGCCTTTATCTCCCATTTCGCCATGACGCATGGATAATTCGATGCAATTGTGCACCCACCCACACCTTTAATTAATCAGATTTCTTTTTTTTTTTTTTCCATGTGGCACTGTGCAATATTTTCTTTCCTAACTGCAGAGTGCTGGGAGCTGTTGTAACATTTCTTACCCAATTCCAGTGCTGAGGGCTATGCAGCCCAGAAGTTGGATGGCATGTGTAGAAATCTTCAGCACCATCTCCAGAGGCCATTTCCAAGGAATCAGAAGCTGAATTAATCAGACGCTTGCTGAGGGATTTGGGAAAATAAAAACAACCAACACAAAACAACCATAAACAAAACCCAACATCCCTGCCAACAAACAAAAGCAATTTCAGGAGAAAAACAAGAAGAAAGCAGCTGAATCCCCAAGGTGCCATTTAGGAAAAACAGGAGGAAATCAGAGACCAGCACCTGCACTGCCCATCTCCGAGCACAGCATGTACCATCCTCCCTCTCTCCCCATCTCCTCCTTATAAAATATCTCCATTCCCACACTGCAGTGGGCACCTGTCCACTGCAAGGAGCAGCTCTCCCCTTTGCCCTTCTCCCACCCCAAAACCACACTACAGCCATGCTTAGCTCTGAAAGCACACAGCTGGCAGGGAGCCCCAGGGTGGCAGCACCCTGCAGGTGCACAGTACAGAGCTGCAGGCAGGTGGGCCCTGGCAGGGTGCCTGACTCCCCACCCAGACTGGCTCAGCTGGGTGCTGCCGTGGGAGCCCCACACTGAGCTGCAGAGCCAGGTGCTGCTGTGGGAGTTCCTG